CCAGCCCTACCCCCAAGGGCTGTAGGGTGGGGCTCAAAGGAGTCAGTGTGCTAAAATTTCTTCATTTTCCTTGTTAAGAATCAGAGGTGCTAGTTTCAAATCCTTTTTAGTCTGAAATCTGTATGCTAGATATTGAGTAAGGTGGTTTTATTGTTTTTTGTCACTTTGAATAATATTTCTGTTCATGTTAAAAACAAAATCAAGTCTCTGTATAAATATATCAGGTGACCGTTAAGGCCCATTGGCCTCTTGCTGATAATACTTTGCAAAAACAATCATTATTTGGTATAATTCTGAAAATTCCCAGTATATTTCTCTTACCAGTAATGCATTTTTACAAATACTAAAACCCCATGATGCTCCATTCCCAAAATAATGAGAAAAGTCCTGATTTATTTCTGACAGGGTCCGTTGGTGTTTTTGGAGCAAGCTCTGATCAACCTTGCGTTGGGTATGCTTCACAATAAAAAATACACACCGCTGTACACGCCGTTCTTCATGAGGAAGGAAGTGATGCAGGAAGTGGCTCAGCTGTCACAGTTTGACGATGAACTCTACAAGGTACACACATTGTAAACCAAAGCGTTCAGTATTCTGGAGTTCAGAAGAACTGGACATGCTTCTTGTGTAATTAAAAATCTCTTGATTTGTACACGATAGCTTACAGATTTACAGAAATCTATGCCTGTTAAGGATTTAGGATGTAAAGAATGAGTTATACATTACGGGTCATGGATGACAATGAGTTTATTTGGTAACTATGGTAATACATGACAACTAAATTCATGGATAATAACTGGAGGTTATACATCACAGGTCGTAGGTAAGGGCAGTGAGAAGGCAGAGGAGAGTGTTGTAGAAGAGAAATACCTGATTGCCACTGCAGAACAGCCTATTGCTGCCTACCACCGAGACGAGTGGATACCCACTGAGAGTCTGCCCATCCGCTACGTTGGTTACTCGACATGCTTCCGACAGGAGGTCGGCTCACATGGGCGGGACACACGTGGAATCTTCAGGGTCCATCAATTTGAAAAGGTGAGTTAGACATTTTGTTGGTGGTCAATGTATCTAAGCAATGTGTAGACGGTGGTTTGTTAATAGCTTCATCCTTTAATTGTCTCTTCAAAATTAATTCCTGACAAACACAGCCTTCTTTTTGTAGTGGTGTGGTGTGGTGTCCAGGTGTCCAGGTGTCAGAGCTATTCACACACCCAGGTCCCTTATAATTGTACATAGGGAAAATTACTACAGCACAAACACTTATACTTTTCATGAAACAACCATATCAGGGATTCCCAGAAATGCATTGGAGCAGTAGATCAAATTTAAATTTTATTTCCTAGGGTCATAGGAAAAACTCCCCACTCTGCACTCGGCTCCTCTATGCAAACTTGAAAATAACAATTAACTTGAAGCATTGAAAGTCTGTTGTGTAGCTCCTGACAGAATCAGTGGTTCTACTCGGCACTCTATTGTAAGAGACAATACCGATTTTAGAATAGCCTTAACAGAAATGTGATTTCTATTTTCACAGATTGAACAGTTCTGTCTAACTTCACCTCATGATAATAAATCTTGGGAAATATTTGACGAGATGATAACAAATGCTGAAGACTTTAACAAATTGCTTGGGATTCCATACCGGATAGTGAGCATTGTGTCAGGTGAGTACTAAGGGAGATAATCATACTTGGTCAGACTTATGTCATCATAATACTCTGTTTTTGTATCACATTACTGAGCTAGAGTTTCAAAAGTCAGTGTCATTCATTCTGGACACAAGATTACAAGTAAGTTTATATTTTATCTGCTAATTGTAAGACATGAATTAGAAATAACATGTTTGTATCAAAGCTCAATTTACCAGGATGTGACATACCACAGTCAAACTAGAGTGGTCGGGTGGTGCAGTGGATAGCGCACTTGCCTTTCACCAAGGCTAACATCTGGGTCAACAAGAATGATTAATATTAGTTGAAATAACTTGTATAATAATTGTTCTAAAATAAATAAATTTCATGTACAGTCAAACTAAAATTTAAATAATTAAAGAAAGAAATGTCATGTTAAAAATGTAAGCAAAACATTTTATTTTCAAAGAAATAAAAATATTTGTAATGTTTGGTATCTTTTTAAAGTTTTTGTTATTTATATTAAAGAAAATATGTACGAGAAGCTCATTAAGTGTGCAAAATGTTGAATGACAGGTGCCCTGAACAATGCTGCAGCCAAGAAGCTGGACTTAGAGGCATGGTTCCCTGCATCAGGGGCATTCCGAGAGCTGGTCTCCTGCTCCAACTGTCTGGACTACCAGGCACGTCGACTCAAGGTCCGCTACGGACAGACCAAGAAGATGAATCAGGAGGTCAGTTGCTCTGTAATGTAATTTATAAATGGTCAAAATTGATATTGCAATAAGTGAGAAAAATCAAACTATAGAGGTGTTTTATACATCTATTAATTTGTGAATTTGATAAAAAGAAGTAATAAAAATGCGCTTGAAAAAAAGAGTGTTGATTTTGAATAGCGTCATGATTTCTTGTTTGTGTCTAGATTTAGATTTACATGTGCTTCCTCCTTATCTTGTAGGCGGATTACTGCCATATGTTAAATGCCACGATGTGTGCCACGACGCGAGTGATATGTGCCATACTGGAGAACTACCAGACAGAAGATGGAGTCATCGTGCCCGAGCCACTCAAACTCTACATGCCCGAGTGTATGTAGCACATTAAATAGTCAAACCTGACCATGTAACCCCCTCTATTGAGAGACTAGTTTGAAATGTTTAAATGATTTCACTGTGAAATACCTGTTAAAAGACCACCAGTGTGAAGAGACCACTATTTGGACTACGAAAAGGGTGGTCTCTTGATACAGGTTCGTCTGTACTTGAACCCGAGCCGCTCAGACATTATATGCCCGAGTTTATGTAGTATCTCTTGTTGGTGTTTAAACCCAGTTGTAGTTGATTATATGACTACCTCTGTGAAGAGACCACCGGTGTTACAAGCATATGTAGTATGTTTTGTCCGTGTTTGCACATACCGTATTGGTTCCATTCATCACCAAGGGATTTATGAGAAAACAGAAGTGGGGTGGGGGATTATTGGAAAGATACAAAAAAGTCTAAGTGTGTGTAAGCGATTATTGAAAAAAGTTTTTAAGATTAGATAGCCTGTATGTTGATAGTCCTCTTGCAGTAGAGGTTGTGGAAGGGATATAGTGCCCAATTTGTATAAATACATGTATGTTTGTATACATGTACCTGGTATGTTCATTGATTTTCATCTCTGTAGTGACTTCCGTTTTGATAAGATTTTGATCAAATTACATATATTGGCATCAGTATGACAATATCTCAAATGACTTCTTGTTTCAGGATGTCAAGGTCACTGTTACTATTTATGGAAATATTTGTAAGATTTCTAACTTCACATCTTAGTCAAGTTTTAGGATGCTTTAAAGGAGATTTGTGTTTCATTGGGTGCCATAAATAGTTTTAGAAAATCACTCTGGAAACTTCCTTTTTGATTAAATAATGATGAAACTTCATATATTAACAAGAATATCGCAATAGTTTTAAGATGAAATGGCTGTTGTAAGAACAATTGTTTTGTGTTAGATGCATCACAAGGTAAAACATCTGTAGCCAACTTATATAAGAGGGTAGGTAAATTACTAGAATATTTTCAAAATCATATGTATTTAGCACTAGTGTAGTTATTATTATTGGATTGATATATACACACTAATAAAGAAAGGTACTTAAGTAATAGATAATCATAATCACCAACTGTGTTATGTTTGAAAACCCCTAAGTAACTACATAGAAACATGAATTTATAACTATAAATAAGAATTAGAATTTCAGATCTAAATTTCAAAGATTTTCTGAGTCTTATGATACAATATCATTTATTACACTAAGAAATAAAGTAAATGGAATATCAGAAAACAATTTTAAGCAAAAGTAATAAAAGTTTTGCTGATCATGTATTTTTGACACTGTTATCTGCTTGTTCACAGGTTGGAAGGAGAAGATTCCATTTGTTAAACCAGCACCAATTGATCAAGAGGAGACGAAGAAACAAAAGAAACACAAGGAAGGTCAGAAGAAGGGAAAGAAAGGTGCCGAAAACTTAGAAACCGACGTGCAGAAAATGAACATTGAAAAATAGACGTTTCAATTTTATAGACTATCGTGTATGTAACTACTCGCTGTGATCTGCCGATGATGTAGTGCCACACTTACTCAGCAGAGAGTCACCTGGCCGTGTGGTCAGTGGACCGAGGCATCTGACACAGAGTCATGGTGATTTTATACTCCTGACTGACCAACCAACCTGTTGGTCAAGCTGTTCGTCAAAGACGTGCTCTCCAAAAAGATGGGACACTAAAGTTTCTCTGTGTGTATCCATGTCTGGTTTGTTTGGTGCAGGGTTTACCTTTCATGACAAGACTTGGAATCTGAATCTGTGCACTCCAGTTGGTTGTCTTGAGATATTTTTTTTATGTTGAATGTTTCTAAAAAAGAAGCAGTCTGTTACTTAATGTTTTGGTTTGGGGACTTATGTGTTAAGTACATATATAATCAAGACAACTTTATATTTTTCTTTGTTTTCAATGTGTATAACACACAGCAAATTTTGTTATGGGTACAGATATATTAAGGAAATAATGCTGGACTGCAATCTTTCCTAGATTCAGGTTCTGTTCCTTCATCAATCTCTGTTATATGCATAGGTTGCATTAAATATTTGTTATGTCTTTGTGACCAATTGCGATCCTCCTTTCAATGGGAAAAGGTTATCTCCCTTGTCTGCACATGTACTGCTACTGACTATTTACATACTGACAACATCATGTTAATATAGATAATATATGTTTACTGGTTTAGCAGACTTTCTTTCAGGAATCATGAAATTATACCATGCCAATATGAAAGTTCATATTTGAAATCTTTTTGATTTTGTCCCAACCAGGCTATTAAGTAATGTCTACCAATACCATCAGAGAGCTTCTGCTGTGTGATACGTAGGTCATCACTTAAAGTACACCTTCTCCAGAAAAATGGATTTCATTGGTACAAAATTCTGGAATACGTTTTATAGAATATAATGAATTATTTACTTGTTTCAAAAGTGCTTCGACTATTAGACCAGTAGCTAGTAACAAATCCTATGACTCTACAACACTAATACTGTATTCAGTAGTCCACAGCTTTGCTTTCTCCATGTAACACCAAACCAGCTTCACCAATCTAGAGTGGAAAACAGTCAATGTGATGTAAAACACAGGGAAAATAAATTATTGACTCATACATTACATACCTTGTTCGTGTTCTTGGTTTCAATTCTCAGGACTTTGAATAAACACCTTCTTTACTCCTAATTGAGTTATTGACTCAATTTATTGTTAGTCCCAGTCGCATAAGTGTGTAAATGATGCACTACTGGGCTTTTTTAGCCATTAGTGACTGGACTGCAGCCCCAGACCAAGGTAATCATTTAGTTGATACTGTATACTACCCAGATAGATTAGAAGCACTAGGATTTCCACAATATCAGGCGACTGAGGTCAGATTTTTTTCGAGTTTATAGAATATTGAATATAATTGATACTGTTGAGGAAAATTACTTACAACTTCATATATAGTCAGGCCAGGTATACGTGTAGAAATGACTGGTAATTAGACCAGATGTAATATTTTTGTGAGAGGTCAATCATTAAGCCACATAATGGTAAAACTCTGGAATGATTTTCCAAACTGTGTGGTAAATAGCCCCATCCCTCTTCTCCTACAGCAGTAGACTTAGCAAAAGCTGGTCAAATTAGCCACGCAAGTTTGAACCATGTTTCTGCTAGATCAAAAACCACTGTTTAGTTGTCCTTGGGCAACTCTATGATTGTTTTTAGCCCATATTCAAACTTTCGTCTGTAATTACTTATTAAGAACTGAAAAAGTAAGCCTCTTCAATCAGGAGCTAGGTGGCTGACTGATTATTAATGTACCAATATAACAAATGTTTAGATTTTTAGCTCACCTGGCCCAAAGGCCATGGTGCAGTGTTTGTCGTCTGTCAAGTTTTTCCTTTAAAACGCTACTAGTCCTTAACTGCACAGAGGATTTTGACCAAATTTGGTCGGGAGCATCATTGGCCAAAGGGTTCTCAGTTTTGTATAAAGGGAGGGTATGGTCCCCCTCGGGGCGGGGCCAAATAGGGGGAAAATAGGTAAATCTTTAAAAATCTTCTATTCAACCAATAGAAGGATTTTGACCAGATTTGTTCTGGTGCATCTTTGGAAAAAGGAGCCTCAAGTTCGTATAAACAGAGGGTGTGGCCCCTCTGGGGGCAGAGGGATGGGCCCAATAGGGGAAATAGAGGAATTTTTTTCTACTACTATACAAGTGAAGGGATATAAACCAAATGCAGTCTGAAACATGCTTAGGGACAAAAGAATCAATTTTGTATAAACTGAGATGTGTGGACCCCTTCTTTGGGGCAGATGGGTGGGGCCCATTGGGGAAATAGAGGAAAATACTAAAGATCCTTCTCCTTTTGTACTGATGAAGGGATTTTGACCAAATTTGGTCTGGAGCATCATTGGCCAAAGAGTTCTTAGTTTTGTATAAACAGAGGGTATGCATGCATGGTCCCCCTCGGGGCAGAGGGGCGGGGCCAAATAGGGGGAAAATAGTTAAATCTTTAAAAATCTTCTGAACCAATAGAAGGATTTTGACCAAATTTGTTCTAGAGCATCTTTGGACAAAGGAGCCTCAAGTTTGTATAAACAGAGGGTGTGGCCCCTCTGGGGGCAGAGGGGTGGGCCCAATAGGGGAAATAGAGGATTTTTTTCCTCCTTCTATACAAGTGAAGGGATTTAAACCAAATGCAGTCTGAAGCATGCTTAGGGAAAAAAGGATAAATTTTGTATAACACCCCCATCCCCTCCGTTTGTCCATCCATAGTATTTGTGAGGGCCGTAACTTCTAAATTAAGGAAGAAAGCTCAATGAAATTTTACATACATATGAAGGATGGTAAGGCAGAGTGTCACTTGCAGCTAAATGAACCGTTCACCCAAGGTCAAGGTCACAATGAAGTCAAAGGTCAAATTCATTGTCTTGGCCACAACTTTAGACTCCCTGGTTGTATCTCGATGAAATGTAAATGGATATATGTAGGAAGGAAGCTGATGTGTCACAAACCACAATTGGGTTTGTATGCATAGGTCAAGGTCATATTGAGTTCAAAGGTCAAATTTATTGTCTGGGCCATGACTTGTAAAAGATAACTCATTAAAACTTAAGGAATATATGTAGGATTGCAAGTGTGAGTCGTCACAAACCAAAAATGGGTCTGTATGCCAAAGGTCAAGGTCCCATTGGAGTCGAAGGGCAGATTCATTGTCTGAGCCTTTACCTCTGACTAAATGAAGATAGTGCAATAAAATAAGGGGTATATGTAGGATGGCAAGGGTGTGTGTTGCAAACCACTATTGGGTCTGTATGTATAATACCCAAAGTCAAAGTAACATTGAGGTAAGAGATCAAACTCATTATCTGTGCCATAACTTCTGACTGGCTAAAGATAGCTCAATGAAGTTTTCGGACTAAAATGAAGGATGAAAAGGCAGTGTGTCAAAAACCATAAATTGGATCTGTACCCCCAAGGTCATGGTCACATTGAGTTCAAAGGTCAACTTCATTGACTGGGCCAATAATATCTTTTGGCTTGCTTAAGATAGCTCAGTGAAATTTAAGTGAAATATGTATGATTGAAAAGGTAAAGGTGGTCTGTCACCTATCAATTTTGGGTCTGTAGGTTTTTTTCTTTGTTTTCTTGTTTTTATCCATGTGGGCTTTCTATAGGACACTTGTTGCTGATATGTGTTAAAATTACTTAGCATATATTAGGAAATATCTGTACTTGCCATGTAATTAAATACAACCAGAAGGAAGGCTAGATATCCAGTAAAAGGTAAATATAGAAGTTGTGTATTGCTGTGCTAATGAGTTTTTTAATCACATATGAATGATAAATCATACACCTAATTTCTGCCGTGATGTGTCTTTTATGGGTTGCAGAAATCAGAAGTTTAAGTATTGGAGATGACCATTTATATATTTTTGACAGTTTTCTCCTTATCACGAAGTGAAAACAACAAATGCTGTTGAAAAAGGTAATATTGTAATATCCTAGGGGTGGGGATATAATTTCTTAAGTACTTAATTTTCTTTTTTTGAAAAAGATCATTGGTATTGGGCAAGAATAATGCATCAAATAATGTGATTTTAATCCGCCAAATTTGAAAATGATAATGTTATGGGAATTCAGGAAATCGGGTGCTCTATCAAAATAAAATTTGTATAGGTTTATAATATAACCTAATACAGATCATATGCTAGCTACACATTGATAAAGCATTATTCTGTATTGTTCAGGGCTGCCCCGGAAGTATGGGAAAGAAGATACTTTAACTGACTTTGTGTAACTACAAAGAGTGTCATCAAGAGTATGTTACAACAGACTGGAAATTTCAAGGTAGGTAAACATAGCTTAACAGTTAGAAAATTTAAGAATCTTTTAAAGGAGGTTGTTGTCATAATGCACAAAAGCTTGTATTTTTTTATATGTACAAAATCAGGAATCTGTCTTGAGTGAGTAAGTTAATTGAGTGAGTTGTATGTGAAATAATAGCTTGACTGTACATAGCACTTCATTAACTCGTTTACTTATAGTTAATCCAGTCACATGTCTCAAAATCATTGCTTGTATATTATATGTAGGACAATTTGCAACTGGTTCTGCAAATAGCAATCTAATTAATGTATATGAGTTTGCTACTTGTTGCATATTTGTACAATCTATGGGGTGTAAAACACAATCTAATCAAAATCATATCTTCACATCGCTCCCGTTTACTGATATGTCGCTGGTTCTTGTGTGTGCAGCATTTTGGAGGACAACGAGTCCTAAGCAAAACAAATACTGTTGATAGTTACGGATATCTAGAGCAAGGGGAAGTAACTTTGATAACCTTAGAAAAGATGGAAGGGAAGTCACTTTGTTTTGTTCAAATATGGTTTTATTATCCTTCTTGATGCCATCTATGACACCATTTTTCTTCACATTTGATCATTGAAACTTTTGAATGATAATATAATTAATGAAACAAATTTTATCTGGAGAAATTTCTGAGATTTATTATTGAATACATGTATATAGTTTATATATAATATAAGATATATTTTGGAGAGGGAAAGCCGTTATTCTTTGTACATGTAGGTTAAATCATTATGTGCGAACAATACAGATATGATTGCATCACATTAATCTTATATTTGCTTCATATTAAATTCTTATATAATGATTTCCAAAGAATACAAATCAAATTGATTTTTTTACACGGTGAAACACAAATCCAAAGACATAAAAACACTAAGAGTATTTTTGGATAATGGATAATGAATTTACCTACTTTATAGTGGATTAATTGTGTTGGCCATGTGGGCATATTTTGTATGCTCAGAGCAGGAAAGTTTGGTGAATTGTTAATTTGGCAGTATGTATTACGACAAGCTGGGTATGTTTTAAGAAGATTTTCATATACATTGTACATATACATTGTACATATACATTGTACATATACATATACATTGTACATATACATTGTACAATTACATTGTACATATACATTGTACATATACATTGTACATATACATTGTACAATTATATTGTACATATACATTGTACAATTACATTGTACATATACATTGTACAGTTACATTGTACATATACATTGTACATATACATTGTACATATACATTGTACAATTACATTCCAATTGTGTCTATGACAGTCAGTGACTGACTGAAAATTTTGATCTCATCTGATGGAAATATTTTACCAAAGATAATTTAATGGACTGTGAAAAAAACCCATTTCCAGTCAAAGATACATAGGACACATTAGAATGCATGTATAAATAAAAATTAAAGGGGTGGGCCTTTTTTTAGGAGGGGGAGGGGGGGGGGGACTGGACCATGATTGTGCCATCATGTGCACTTGTTGGGAACATATTAAAATTTGACGAAACTGAATCAAGACCCAGAGCTAGCCCACCCAGAGCTAGCCCTGCAAGGAGGATATAGTTATAAAGAAAATCGCAAAAAAAAACCTCCACATAAATGATCTGTCGTGCAATAATCGATACAAAACTGTTCATGCGAATAAAATGAAAAACAGGAAAAGTAAGGACCATATTCAGATAGTGTTCTTTGCCCAGATTGGAGATAAAGCACTTTAAACCAGATATTAGATA